AAAATAAAAAAAGAAGTCTGTAAGGCAGGAGGCAGATGCAAGATTTTTATCACAGTGAAAAATCTTACCTTGAAATTTTTTCCCTCTTTTTCATGACCTTAAACCAATGAATAAGAGAAATAAGGCTTAACGTGTTACGTGTTTTACTGTGATCTGGGTTGGTTTTAACTGAGCCCGTGATTAGAGTGTTTCATTAGCTAGTTGGAATACTTTATGGATTATCGCTTGAAAATGAGGATTAATTTGGGGTACAGGCCCATCAAATGCTAGCAGCTTCATTACATGTGTATATTGTCACTCACTTCCCTGTTAGATATAAAAGGAAATTCTATCAATTCTCAGGTATACTGAAAATAATGTCAAGGATCTTCCTTATTAGTTTGACTCTCTACATAAACTTGAATTTATTTATATTCATTTAAAGGCTGATAAAGAGAAAAAACAATGTTCTATGGACTCATAAAATTACTTTCTTTATTAATGATATATTTCAGGACATTTAGATAATTTAGAGTTATATAGGTTTGATATTTTCAATGAAGATACAAGAAGATGGTATTTTTATTAAACAAGTCCATGATAAGGGGCAAGTTCAGTGAAACAGAAATGACATACCATAGATAACTTACATATTATAGTTTAACAGAATTAGACTTATTAGAATATTTTTTACAAACTCTGTCAGTACTGACATCTTGTTTCTTATGTCAAGCCAAGTAATTCATTAGTGTGTGTGTGTATTTTTTTAAAATTCCCCTTTCCCTTTACACCCACCCTCCATCCTTCTCCTCTCTGGCAATCATCATTTTGTTCTGTTTCTATGAGTCTGCTTTTGTTTTGTTTTGTTTGTTCATTTGTTTTATTTCTTTTTAGATTCCACATATAAATGAAATCATATATTTGCCTTTCTCTGTCTTATTTCACTTAGCACAACACCCTTTAGGTTCATCCATATTGTTGCAGATGGCAAGATTTCATTCTTTTTTACTGCTTAGTAATATTCCATTGTATATCATTGTATATATACCGGATCTTCTTCACTCATTCATTTATCAATAGACACATAGGCTGCTTCCTTATTTTAGCTATGGTAAATAATGCTGCAATGAACATAGGGGTGCATATATCTTTTCAATTTAGTGTTTTCATTTTGGGGGGATAAATATCCAGAAGTAGAACTGCTGGGTCATAAGGTCATTCTATTTTTTTTTTTTTAAGATTTTTATTGGGGAATTGGGGGGATGGGAACAATGCTGGGGAATTGGGGGGAGGAGGACAGACAAGTTGCTGTCCTTTTGTTCTTCAGTCTAGTTGTGGAGGACATCGCTTCACTGGCCCAAGTTGGCACCATCATTGCGCTCTTCCCAGGNTTAGAGTGCAGAAAAGTGGATTTTGCTGAATAACACTTTGTGCAGTCTAATTTGGTGTTTTATTTAACAGGCTTCCTAAAATAGGAGTTCTAGTTTGGTATTGGGTTCAGTATTGGAAAGGGGATCACAGTGGGAGCTGCGAGCAAATAGAGAAGCAAATACTATGTTAGCCAGACCAGGGAAATTGAAGGCATTATTAAGAAAGTTCAAGACATGTACTATGATATTCCTGAAATTACTAAAAAGAAATAATTACTCGCTAAGCATTTGAGAGAAATGTGTGTGCCTAATAAGATAGACACTGCAGGGATCAACAGAAAGAGATTGGGCAAGGTGAAACAGCAGAACCTTAATGGTTACCTTGAGTTTTTTTGTGCTCCAGTGTTCTCTCAATGGGCAGAGGAAGTTCAAGTTTAGCTGTGCTTTTGTGCAGACAGAATGACAGCCTTTGGTTTGCGGTGCAGTTTCAGGCATGGAAAGTCTTTTCCATCCCTAGTGTTTTCCCCAAATTGTGATGTTGAAATTTTTATCTTACCGGGGGCATTGGCTTTAATGTCACAATAAGAATTGGGTTAGAGATTGAGTCAGAGGGACGGTTCAAACTGAGTAAGAATGGTCATACATTTTTATCAATATCATAAAATATTTTATACAAGAGATGGTGTGAGATTACAGACTCATTTTTGTGAATTGGATGGGCTGGTGATGGGTTGGAGTGAGATGATCAGAGTACATAAACCTATGAATAAGTTGGTGTCAGTAGGTTGGGGTTCCTTAGAAAGAAATACTAGAAGTGCAAGTAATATTTACTTACACCAACAAAATTTGGATCCAATTTAGTCCAGTGATATGAGGTAATCTGTGCTCAGTCCAATTTCTTCAAGAAAAAAACAGTCATAAAGCATAGAGTCAGAGACCTAAGGAGCAGGAAGGAACCTCTATACAGAAGCATCAAGGTAAACTTTCTGGCTTTGGGGGA